TCTGCGGGAGTCTCCATGTCCTGCGGAGAGACAGCCGAGGGTGGGTACGTGTGCGAGGGAACAAGGGCACATACTCCGGTTTCTCTTCAGATCGCATAAATCTTTCGCCTTTTACTAAAGATTTCCGTGGAGAGGAACAAGCACGAGTGTCGATAAATTTTTTGAGGCTCCGCTTCAGGTGGAGCTATCCTTTCTTTTAGTTAAAAACAGAAACAGTGCAGTGCACGATAAAGCTCGCTCTGCTAGTTGGGCGTTTTTGTACCGTCCCCACCCCGTCAGCACGAGTGTCGATAAATTTTTTGAGGCTCCACTTTAGTGGAGCTCCCAATATTTTGGTTAAAAACAGATTAAACTGAGTGGTGGTACTTGAGGTTTCAAGCTTGTTTTCAACCCTCTCATCGTGGGGTGGTTCCTGTTGCTTGCGGAGTGACCCCGGACAGGCGTCCCCAGATCCCTCCTGCTCCCCACAAACACTTCCCGAACACAGGTGCCGCGCTGTCAGCAGCTCCCTTCTCCTCCAGCCATCCAGCTGATGAAGGCCCTCGTGGCCCCTGAGGTCCAGCCGGCCCGGCTGAAAGGCCTGGTTGCGCTACTGATGCCCCCCAGGAAGAAAGCTCTTACCTTCTGTGAGGAGACCGCCAAAGGTAAAAGAGCCGACCATAGCCCCCGAGTACACAGCAGGCCGTGGCCTGTCAGGGTGACCAGGGGGTGTTTCTCCCAAGCTCCATCGCCTCCTTCTGCAGGGCCCAGCGGTTGCCCTGGCTCGTACTGGAGGAGATGCAGGGTGCTGCCCCTACGGCAAGGGGCACTCCGGCAGGGCCTGCCCGCATCGCGGCAGTGCTTGCCTGCAGCACCGCTGCTAGCTTGCAGGCCTCCAGAGACCTGCTGCGTTCTGCTGCCTGCTGGGCCGGGATACTGAGCAGTTCCAGCCCCAGGCGTTCCCTCCCCTGCCTCAGCAGAGCAGGGCGCGGTGGCCCAGGCTCTCTGAGCTGTGGCTGTGCTGCCGTGGGCATCCTGTACTTAGATCCTTGCAGGCAGGGTACTACCTATGGTACATAGCCACTGGGTTTACCTGAGGCATGTTTCCTCAAAAACGGTATCCTCCTTTCATGCTAGCAGTGTATAACTCCACCTACCCTCCCTCCTAACATCTTAGAACGTTTCAAAGCATTGTTCTCACTTTCCTGATGTTCCTCAATGCAGGGCAAACTGCACTGTGCCTGAGGGAGCCCGTGCCAGTGTCCATTCAGCAGGCAGCTGCTGCAAAAGCCATTGGGTAAGAACTGTGAAGTAGAATCTACAAGAGCATAAAAGGGACTTTAGAGAAGTGGCTTCCTTCAGGTGGGAAAGAACTGGGACTTCTTCCTCCCAGGGAGCATTCACCCCTGGCACTGCTCTCTGGGTGAGTACCCCAGCTCTGCTAAGACTCCTGTTCTAGGCTCTTCGGAGATGGGGCATGTTCAGGAATAGGGCAGTGCTCAAACCCTCCCTGCTACTGACACCAGAGCTGGCTTGAAGTTTTATTTATAAGGAGATGTGGAATCCCATCTGCTCCGGCCCTGTGTTCTGTCACAGTGTCCCCTTTATGGCTGGACCTGGAAGCAATATGTGTGTCCTGCCACAACACAGAGCTGAAGAGTGCTGTATTGCTCAAGGCCATTGTGTTCTCCACATAGCTGGGAGCCACAGCAAGCAGTGAAACACCCTTCTTTAACATCAGTCACCCAATGGAAGAATCTAGTGCCTATGATTGACTGCAGAATCCTTAAGGAAATTCAAGCATTTGTGCTAAAATTGGTTCATTCAGTATGAATTTCCTGCAGTGTCCACAAGATGATAGTACTATCAGAACAATTTTCCTGCAAAAGCAGATGGCAGAAAAGCCCTTGGTGGGTCAGGAGACATACTGGAGTGTCTTCCAGGGACATGCTCGCAAGTGTAATGGTGGTGTTCAAGTCCTGGGTTCTTTATGATCACACAAGAAACTTGCTAGACTTTAATACACACCAGGAAGCTCCTGCTAATCATTAAACAATTGATTCTTAGGAAGCCCACGTTAAGTGATTGGCTAATCTATGCACAGCCAAACATTTCATGTTTATTTTGAGACTCTTGTGTTTGTTGATGCCCCTAGGGCAGGGTAGGAACATATCTTCCATTGAGGTTGCACCAAGAGGCGCAGACTCAAGCTGTTGGACGCTTCTTCCCCCATACACAGTAGGGGCTGATGGCCTCTCTCATTGCAGCATATTAGCCAAGGAGTCAGCAGAAGCAGATGAAAAGCTGATCCAGCTGAAAGTGGTACGTGGCCTGATGGCTGCTGTGGGGAACCTGGATCACGTGGCCAGCCAGAGACACGCCAGCATCTCCCTGGAGGTGAGCATGGTGGTATGTGGCAGCAGACACCCTAGCACAGAGTCTGCTCCCAGAGCACCTGAGTAGAAAGTCTCCCTATGCTGTGGGGTTTTTTTTCCTAAGCAAAGCAGACACAGGCTTATTCACAAAGGCAAGAGTGACACTTCCTTTGGGAAAGAGCTGTATTTCCCTTCTTGTCTGCCTCCCTCCTGCCACCCACCTCACACAGGGTGCTGGGAAGCCAATGTTGGCTCTCACACCTCTGTTCTACCCCAGGCTTGCTTTGGGTAGCAAGCACAGACAGAGCCAAGGGGCTAACCTAACCAAGACAGTTTGCCCGGAGCAAGACACTAGCACAGAATTGTAAGCAGGCTACTTTTCTCCTGCTGGTGCTGCGTAAAGCCTTTTGGCCTGCCTCAGCACAGCTCCGCCTGTATAACAGCCACAGGGAAAGACCATGCCTTCAGTAGATGGGAAGGGCTGAATGAATGATGGCTGAGAACTAGGCTGCTCAGGATGAAAGAGGTTTTACAAACCTACCCTTTAATGCAGAGGGTGAGTGCACCCTTCCTCTGATCAGGCACCAACAGCAGGGCAGGATGAACTCCCTGGCAACTGCTGCGCTGCTGTCATTTCACTGAAACACCCTCCCTCCTCTTGTCAATGAAGGGGGGAACTGGCACTGGGGAAGGGCAGGGGGGAATAAGATGAGGCTTGAGCAGAGACCCACAAGTTCCTCTTGGTGTGTTCGTGAAGTGCCATCAGTAGCACCAGTGCTGAAGGAGGTGGGTCAGGGACCCGATATCCTGTGACAGGTTATCTGGCACCACACCATCCATGCAGCTCTACCCTCTATACCCAATTCAGATCTCTTCTCCCTACACATCAGCTCTCTGTTCTGTTGCAGTATTTTGTCCCCACGTTTCCCTTTGTGGAGGAGTGCGTAAAGGCACTTGGGCACACACTGTTCTAGTGCTTTATGGTAAACATGCCTCCCTTACGGGGTTTATTAGCAGCCCTAGGACCTTGGTCTGTTTTACAGGGATGTAGGGACTGGATTTCTTTCCACAATAAATCAAGTCTTGCATGACAACCCAGAAATAAACAAACCAAGCCACCTTTTGAGAATTGTCCACCTTCAGTCTCAGTGTTCAGGAAGGTAATCACTCTGATTCAGCCCCAAGACAAGGCAAGGAGGGATCCCAGACCCCTGCTACTTCTGTGACAGTGAGGCAAGAGGTGACCTGAGCTCCTCCAAATCAGGTCCCTTCTGACTCTAGCTCCTGGTTTGGATATAGAGATTAGTAAGTAATGTTAGATCCAAAGGAAGGTGGAACAAACAAGGGGCAACATTTTGTTCCTTGCGCCCATCTTTACTTACCCCAAGCCATCATGGGGGAAGGCGGGATAATCCAGGTATAGTAACATCTGAAGCAGAACAGGACTATTTTGCTTTAGTCCAAACTCAGTAGGGCATAACAGCCCTTTTACTCTGGCTATGCCATGTTAAGATGATATAGGCAGAGCCCAGGTGCAAGTCAGCTTTGACAGTTCAGAGGCCCCGAAAGTGCTCAGCCCTACACTGCTTCCAGTAACTTAACTGTTGATCACAAAGTGCCCAAGCTATGGGGGACGATGCTGTTTGGGTTGAAGTATCCCTTCTCTAGCTGCTTGCCCACATCCCATTAAGATCATCTTTTGCTGCCTTTTCCAGGACAGTCCTGAGATGTGGTACACAAAACTGGATCCAGTCCAGGCTGAAGAAGTGGCCTCCAATATCATAGGCATCCCCAGAGACAGGGCAAGGCTACAGTCCACAGGTGTGTGTAGAGCTGGGGGCACTGTCAGTCAAATTACACCCTTTACTTTCAGAGGGAGAAGGCAGCTCAGGAAGCAGGAAACCAGTGTGGGCATCTAGGGAAAAAGGGAGTAACAGCAGAAGGATCCCTTTGTAATTCAGTGTTTGTATAGCTGCATTCTGTGTTGCTGGACCCAGAGCACACAGGGATGTTTTGTCCTTTCATTTATCCCTGGAATGAGCTGAACAAACAGGAAACAGAGGGCAGCGGCACATGCCTCCCATCTCTCCTTCCCTACCCTGCCCTTCTGCCGGCTCCTGCCCAGAGGACAGGTTGTGAGGCCACTTGGCCCCAGGTTGCACACAAGGGCCATGGCAGCAACTCGCTGCACCTGAGCCAGGGGCCAGCTTTACACTTCTACCTTCAAATACAGATTTTGGTGGGTTACCAAACATGTGTATTTTATGTGGCATGTTAGCCATAGGAAATACATATAAAAAAAGTGAAGTAACGTCCTGGGGCTGTCTTCAAAGCCTAAGTAAACTCCAGTGGTACGATGGAGTCCCACAGGGCCTGTCCTACTTACCTGAAGTCAAAAAAGCTGAGCCACTCACTACATGCTGAGCTTTGCTCAGGTGCAGGATAGGTGCCCTCTAAACCAGCTTCCCCCTTGCTGGGCAAGTTCTACCCAGCAGGATCTCAAAATCAAGAGATAAAATTTATTTTGAGTGATTTTTATGTAAACATTACAAGTGTAAAGATTTTTAAAAGAATCTTCATCCAAGAAATCAGCTCCTCTACAACACCAGCCAGTCTTTCGGGACTGTTAGACTTCACCAAAACCAGCAAGAAATATATAAGATAGATGATAATTAAATCCAGGATCATTTATTTATCAAACTTCTTAAAATACTGTTTTCATTTTGGTTTTAGTGGGTTTTTTTTTCCACAATTACATATAGTCTCTAGAAAAGCCAGACTTGCAATAGTTTTGCAATGTTTCAAGCACGTCTGGAAAGGCTATATGTACACTAGGAAGCTATACATGTGTATCTAGTTCTATTAGACCACCATCATCACTAGCAAAGGGCCAGATGTTAGACACATCTGGCAGACTCCCAGGCCCCACCCCCCAAGCCTTGCAGGGGTGGTTTCTAGCACTCTGCTGAGTACCCTGACACCTGGCCACAAAGAGAGAGAGGCTGCCACCCTCAGGCACACGTGACCCAAAGACACTCACCACATTTAAAATAGGAGTTACACAAATGACTGACAAACATGCAAGACATACAGAAGACTGCTTGTGAACCAGGTTTTGCTCTGTTTACTAAAGCCTCTGCTGGCTCATCTGCTTGCTGGCTTGCTCCTCCAGTTGCATGGCAGCTCCCAGGGCATCCAACGTTTCTGTGAGGGAAGACAGGAGTGACAGGGTGACTGACCTGGAAGCTGAACTCCCCAGCCTGGCTGTCCACCTCAGCAGGGCTCTGCAAGGGCCAGAGGGGAGTGAATTGGGCAGGAACTGCTCCATCAACATCAAATCCTGCCTGGTCCCACAAAGTTCTTCAGCTATACTTGTTCATTCTGCTCATCAGTTTCAAGCCTGCAGTTTGCAGTTCAAACTAGATGCCACTAATCAAACCATCCCAGAGGGCCAGATTTTCCTTGGCATATAATGCAGAGGAGGTAGCAGGGCATTTACTTTTGTTAATCTCATCACCACCCGTCCATGGTGAATGGAGGGATACAGCTATCAGGCTGCATTTGAGATGGGAGGGCTGTTCAAGAAAAGCTTGCTACTTCAGGTTAACAGTTCACTTTGATGCCGCAATTTTCAGCTTCATTTAAAAAAAACCCCACAAAACACAAAATAAAACCCTCACAGCCCTGTTTTAGAGGCAAAGACTATGCAAGCTGTAAGGGCTGAAGCAGCAATCAAAGCCCAAGTTATTGCAACAGTGGCAGAAAAGTAGCAGTTACCAGTGTTAGCTTCCCCTGTCTTAATCAGGCAGTCTATATACCTGGCACTCTGTTACCGTGTGTCAGCCAAGCTCACACATCTGCCTTGCTGCCTCTCTACCATTGCTTCAACTAGAGTGGTCCAAAGGCAGGCAGTGCTCAGGGAACGGGCAGCTGACATCCTCCTGCACAGAGCTAGGAGGTCTCCAAACTACAGCAGAGCGCTGAACAGTCAGAGGGATTTCGTTGCACATTGATTAATGCTCTATATTAAGGCAAAGAAATGCCAAACACAGGTGCCAGCAGACATGGCATCTCAGTATATGCCTGGCAGACACTTGTAATAAGTGAATGGATATTAAGGCCCGATATCCATGAAAATAGGAGTGGAAACAGTGGGCATACCCCCATGAACCCCTAGAACATAGCATTGAGACCTATTTCTTAAAGTCTGTTCTTTGGCCAAGGCAAAAAGGTAATCTATATAACCAACAGGCCAAATAGACTTCAGCTCACCTGCCCTTGGGCGGGTATTGTGTTCTGCTCAAGGGAAGGCAGTTTTATATGCCAGTACAAAGCAAGTTACTAGCCAAAATTTTACTTTGGAGAGTGCATTTCAGATCTGTCCCTATGATCACTGAGGAAAGTGATCTAAACAGTAAGCGATGCAGAAGGACTGGGTGCTCGAGCCCCCACAGGTATGCTGGTGTTACTTTCAGTCTTTGGGAAAAAAAAAGTGACAGCGATAGTCAGAGACAGGCACTAACATACCTCTGACATTAAGGAAGTTTCTTGAGCTCTCCTCTACAAAGTGCTTAGCTCTGCTCACAAATGTCTCGAGATCATAGTCTGGTTGCTCCGTGATTCCCAAGAGGTAGTCAAGTTCAGTTGTCATTCTCTATATTTACAAGGATAACAGTAATGAGAAATTGGCTTTCTGGAAATCCAAATAGTTTCTTTAAATCTGGCACACAGAGCTGAGCTTCTACAGACCAGTACTAGTCAGTGCTTCTTAGCAGCAAGTAGAGGTTGCTAGTTGAAGGGGAAGGAGGACCAGCTGGCCACAAGCACTGAAACACCCCAGTTTAGCCAGTTGGGCAGGAAACAAGAAAAGTTGGCAGTGAGGAAAAAGTATCACCACTGATGGCGTCTTGCAGTACAGCCCACAGCCTACCCAGCAGCACTTGGCTCAGACAAGGCAAGGTGCTACCAACATGCAGAAGGCAGCCTGGGCTGAGCTTGCCTCTTCCACGTACCTGTCTCAGTTCTCTAAGCTGTTCTACAACGTTCTCCTCCCGTTCACTAATTTGAGTCATTGCCTCACAGAAGTTGACCATGTGGGGAGAGATATCTTCCTCCTCATCCTTGGAAAGCTGCAAGAAACAGCCCAAGTAAGAACAGCAAGTTGTTCCCAGCTTTGAGAGCTGTTCAGCCCACTGCACACACATACATTGTGTTGATGACCTAAGCCTTCTCCAGCAGTCTCTGTTTCCTCAGTCTCCATCTGATTCTGTGTTTCACCATCTCCATTGTAAGGGCTGAGTTCTTTCACTCTGCAACAAGAAGATTTGTCACTCCAACTATTCTTCCAGCAGTTTCTGGGCTACAGCATCACAAGACAGCTACTGCAATCGATCACTGCTCAGCAAGAAACACAGCTGCACTTAAAGTTGCACATTACCACCCCCAGAACAAGCTCACACAGGCAGAAACCCAAGTGCTGTGGGAAGGAAAGCAGAGATGTTTGTTTCCATGCCAAATCTAGGACCTCTCCTAGAGGGAGAGAAATGACCAAGTACATGATGCTAATTGGCAGCAAAGCCTTTCACAGAAGGTGTCTTCCATGTGTCAGCTTGGTCTGTCATGACCAAGAGAACTTAGTACAGAAAGAAAAATAATAAGGTTGATTTTTCCCAGAGAGCCACTGCGCCAGAACAGGTCTATAAGGCTGAAAATCATGGTTGATGAGATGGTACTAGAGGTAGATAGCAGACACCAGCTGGGAATTTCATTCCAGTTACTAGCATCAGCTTCCTGTTTCCACTGAGTTTCTGCCTAATACCCCCTTTCTTATAACTCAAACTTGCCTTGCACATTTGCTAAGAATCCAAGGGGCCCAACTCAAGACTAGAATCCTACTGAAGCACACCAAGTTAGATA